CCCCCACATTAGGGCTGCTAAGTATTTAAAAAAGAAATTACTAAATAATACTAAGGTTGCTTACTTTTTTGTTCTCTTAAAGATGTTGCAAATGCTGCTTCTGACCTGTATTGCCAAAATGTATATCAGAAACTTCTTGTTGAAGCCAAGAGGAAGCTCGGGGAGATTCTATCTGCTTTTGAGTTTTTGGATAACTTAGCAATGGATTTGGTAAGCTTGCATGCTGTTTTATCTTTCTATTTTCTTTGTCTATGGACATGTGTTTCATGTTGTTCTTTGTTCCTGTCAGTTGCCATTGCTGGTTTAACTTATCCTCTTTTACGGTTAGAATTTAAAGGTCTTGCTGATTTCTTTTCATGTAGTAGGTCCTAAATCATTTGGAAGGCGTTCGGAATCCATTACCTCCCTTCCTGCACAACTTTTATGTCTTGATTGAAACAACAGGCAGTCATGAATCTTATGATAGGTAACCTCCTTTTATTATTATTATTTTTTCATTTTTTTAAATTTTCTATCTACAATATACCATCTTATGAATTATAATCCTTGACGCTTTTGTTTATGAATTTTTTTTTCCATACAAATAAATTCATCTTTTCTTCTTAAATCCCTTTGTATTGCTAAGATTTTACCCCTTTTGTTTGGAAATCTCTAGAGAAAAGCTTGAAGCCTTCCTCCTCCATGCAATGGAAGTTGGCTTGATCTCTGATGGGGCTCTAGCACAAGACATTAACCAAGCATCATCATTTTGGCATATACGTGAGGTATCTTTCACCTTTAGGTTCTCATTAGTGGCTTTCCCGTTCTCTTTCTAAAGAAAAAAACGAGGAAGAAATTCTGATTTTTCTTATTCAGAATGAGAAAAAATTACAGGGATTAAATACACGTACAAGCCAGCAAATGCCACCTAATTGCTGCCTCTATTCTCGGTAATTACAGCCTAATTTACCGAGATTATTCCTCTACTAAACTAGGGGGGAAAAAATCAGAGAGAAATCAGTTAGTATCCTACCCAAATCTCATTATTACAATAAGTAGCAAATTAAGGAAACAAACTAGGAAACAACTTATCAGAATTCCTAAAACCTAGGACTAACTTTATTCAAAATTTCAACACTCCCCCTCAAGTTGGATTGTATATGTTGATCATGCCCAGCTTGTTGGTCAGAACATCAAAGTTAGTCCTAGAGCTTTGGTAAGAATATCTGCAGTTTGAGAGCTTGTTGGTTTATAGATCAGTTGAACTATCTCCTTTTCTATTTTTTCGGAGATGAAGTGACGATCTATCTCGATGTGCTTTATCCTGTTATGGTGAACTAGATTCTTTGCGATACTTATGGTGGCCTGATTATCACAACACAACGTTAGGGGCTTCTCAACTGGCAAGTCTAATTCTTCAAGTAATCTTCTTAACCACATTCCTTCGCAAATCCCAAGTGCCAATGCTCTGAACTCTGCTTCTGCACTACTTCTTGAAACTACACATTGCTTCTTGCTTCTCTACGTCACAAGGTTTCCCCACACGTAAGCACAATAACCTAACATGGATCTTCGATCAGTAACTTCTCCAGCCCAATCAGCGTCCGAGTATACGTTTACTTCTTTACTTGGATACTTTTTGTAGAACAAACCTCTCCCTAGTGTCATTTTGAGGTACCTCAGAATTCGGTTGACAGCTTCCATATGCTCTTCAATTGAACTGTTCATGTATTAGCTTACTACACTAATAGAAAAACTAATGTCTGGTCGAGTGTGTGAGAGGTAAATAAGCTTCCCACGAGACGTTGGTGGTACCAATCTTCTTTGTCAAGTCCATGGGAGTATCTGCTTGTTTACGTATGAGGATTCCGGTTTCTTGCAGTAGATCTAGAATGTATTTGCTTTGAGACACAAATATACCGTGTTGTAACCGTGCCACTTCCATACCTAGGAAGTATTTTAGATATCCTAGGTCCTTGACTTCGAACTCCTTTGCTAGGAACGTTCTTAATTTGATTAGTTCCTCTTTGAAGTCACCTGTCAATATAATGTCATCTCCATACACAAGCTTTTCTCCCGTTAGGTGAATGTTTGATAAAGAGAGTATGATCCGCTTGACACTGGGTGTAACCACACTTGGTCATTGACTTCGTGAATCTGCCAAACCAAGCTCAAAGGAACTGTTTAAGTCCATAAAGGGACTTTCTGAGTCTCCAAACCCTATTTGTAGTGACATGGTTTTCAAAGCCTGGTGGAACTTCCATGTTCACTTCCTCCTTTAAGTCCCCATTGAGAAATGCGTTCTTGATGTCAAGTTGGTGAAGGGGTTAGTCCAAGTTTGCTGCCAATGAGAGAAGAACTCGAATTGTGTTGAGTTTAGCAACCAGGGCAAATGTCTCTTGGTAGTCAATTCCATAATATTGAGTGTAGCCCTTAGCAACAAGTCGGGCCTTGAATCTATCCACGCTCCCATCTGCCTTATGTTTGATGGTGAAAATCCATTTTCACCCAACTAGTCTTTCCCCTTTTGGGAGCTCTGAAACTTCCCATGTTCCATTCTTTTCTAGGGCTTAGATCTCTTCCAACACTGCTTTCTTCCATTCAGAGACTTTGAGTGCTTATTGTCTACTGCTCGGGATCTGTATTGTATCGAGTGACAAATGCTCAATATCCAGGAGATAAACCTTTGTAGGAAATGAAATTGTAAATTGGATGCTTAGTGCATGATCTCACTCCTTTTCTCAGTGCAATGGGCCAATGTAGATCATCATTATTTAAATTGTTAGTGACAGTCTCACCTGATGGAATTTCACTCGACCTGTGATTCAGTTTGGGCTCTTGGTGTTGCTCTAGGCGTGTTGATTGCTCTGCCTCCTTGTCATCTAGCACAGATTCTATGGCTGAGAGAGTGGAGATGAAATTTGTGTGGGCCGAATGAGTGGAGATGAGGAGGTTTGTGGACCGAGACTGGAAGTTTGTGTGGGCGGAAGGAGTAGAGATGAGGAAGTTTGTGGACCCGGGCTGGATTGATTTTGACTTTTGGTGGTGGATTGACTTTGACCCTCGGTGGTAAGGTTTATTGGATCAATTTGGTTGGAGATTAATTCTGGAGCAGCCTCGACTACCATTTTTGGAACAGACTTGACTAGTTGGAGAGGTGAGGACTGATGTTCACTATTCCCAATTTCCCAAATTGAAATTCTTGTGGACTCTCCCCCGGAATTGCAGGTTTGGGGTAGTAAGATTGATGTTCAAAAAAGGTTATATCCATGGAGTTATATACTCGAAAATAAGAGAGAAATATTTGAGTGAAAAATTATTTCATTGATACGAAGAAGAATTTATACGTACACTACTTATAGAATACAAAAGGCACAAGGATATGAATGAAAAAATATTGTATAGCTATCTTTCCTACTTTACACAGTTGACTAATCCTATAATTAATCATAAAATACAGCTAGACAATCCCCGGAGATCAGCAATCAATTACAGCTGAATATTTTCTTTTTCAACACTCCCTTTCAAGCTGGTTTAAAGATATCTTCCATTGCCAGCTTGCCCGTTAGTTTCTCAAATTGTTTCTTAGACAGTCCTTTTGTAAAAGTATCTGCAACCTGTTCATCGTTGGTATATATGTTATGCAAATCTGTCTGTTTTCTATCTTTTCCTTGATGAAGTGTTTGTCAACTTCAACATGCTTGGTTCTATCATGAAGAACAAGATTATGTGCTATATAGATTGCTGCTTTGTTATCACAGTATGCCTTTATTGGACAGGAACTTGAAATTCTTAGTTCGTCTAAGATTCTTTTAGCCCACAAAACCTCACAAATATCATGAGCTACTGACCTAAACTCCGCTTCAGCACTGCTTCTTGCCACCAAATGCTGTTTTTTACTACGCCAAGTAACTGGATTTCCTCCAATAGAGGTACAATAGCCTGAGGTCGACCTTCTATTGTTTATACTCCTAGCCCAATATGCATCTGTATATACTTCAATTTGTAGGTGACCGTGTTTTTCATACAAAAGGCCTTTCCGAGGTGATCCCTTTAAGTACTTCTGTACATTGCCTTGAAGTGGTCTGGACCTGGTGAGTGCATAAATTGGCTAACCATGCTTACTGTGAAGGCTATATCTGGGCGAGTATGTGACATATAAATAAGCTTACCAACCAGCCTTTGAAACTGTTCCCTGTTATTCACATCTTCTATTGGTGTTTTTGCTGCCTTGCCACCGAGTAGACGTGTCTCTCCAAGAAGATCATGCACATATTTCTGTTGAGAAACAAATATGCCCTTTTTCGAACTAGCAAACTCCATTCCAAAGAAATACTTTAAGGCTCCCAAGTCCTTGATCTCAAAATCATCTGCAAGAACTCTCTTGAGTTTTTTGAGCTCATCACTATCATCACTTGTTAATATTATATCATCAACATAAATAATCAAAATAGTAGTCTTTCCTTCTTTTGAGCGTTTATCGAACAAAGTATGATCTGCCTGACTTTGTGTATATCCATGGCCTTTTACAGCTTTCCCAAATCGCTCAAACCATGCATTGGGAGATTGTTTGAGACCATATAGGGATTTTCTTACTCTACACACTTTCCCTGAACGAAGGCGTTCTTCAAAGCCAGGAGGTAGATTCATGAAGACTTTCTCTTCCAAATCTCCATTTAAGAATGCATTTTTTACATCCTGTCGGTGCTGGTGTAAGGGCCAGTCACTAAGGAAAGTAAGACACATGTTGAATTAATTTTTGCAACTGGAGCAAACGTCTCCGGGTAATCAATACCATGTTTGCTGCTAATTGCACTTTGTACCTTTCTACACTCCCATAAGCTCTACACTTAACTGTAAACACCCATTTCCAACCTATTGTTTTCTTCTCCCTTGGTAAGTTAACTATCTCCCAAGTCACATTTTTTTTTTTTTTTTTCAGAGCATTCATCTCTTCTAAAATTGATGCTTTCCAATCCGGATTATCTAAGGCTTCCTGAATGGTTCTCGGGATAAACAGGTGGGAAATTTTTTACGTAAAAATGGTAAAGACACATTTAGCTATGGGATGTTGTTAGGATTCTAAGTAGTTCTCAGGAATTTACACCATTTGGAATGAACAGATGCCAAAATATAGAAGAAATGAACCAGAGGAAATGGTTCTGGTTACTTTACTAATGAAAACAAATAGAATACAGGATAAGAGGAGAATTCGAGGACCCTTAACCTCCGGGAATAGCTAAACCCAAACAAGAAATCTCGATACCTTTCCCTTACCCCCAGCTAGGCTATTTATTCTCTTTGCTCGTAACTAACTCCTCCCCCTCCCTAACTGATCGCTACCCCCTCGACCTTCCCCATACCAAAACCGAATACCCCAACTGAATTCCTCATCCCCATGCTCAATGTTACCCCAAATTACCAGCCTGCCCTGTTTGTCTTTCTTCCCTCTTCTAGCATATACAAACTTAAGAGGCGGGGACCTATCAATCCCCTCCCCCCCCCCCCCCCCGAGGACAACCTTGTTCCCAAGTGGCATTCGAAGAGGGCAAACCGTCCCAATGCACCAAGACTTCAGACACGCGACGACCCCCCACGGTGATGGTGCACGAATCCAAAACAGCGGCTAGCTGGACGAGGAGCTCAAGGTCGCCGATCAACTGCGCAGGGAGTGGCTGGCCCTTGTAGTGCTGACCTCGAAAGAGCTTTAGCTGGGATTCATGGAAGACCGAATGTATCTTGGCAGAAGGTGGCAAGTCAAGGCGGTAAGCAACCGACCCAATTT